AGCCTCAGTCAAACCTGTAGGTTTCTGTTAAGTGCCTTCTATGTTCAATAAAGCTGCCAAGAAACCCCCATGCTAAGAAGAGGAAGGAGAGAGTATCTCAAGGAAGTGTTCTAGAAATTTCTCCTCTCGGTTCAGTTCAGGTTAACACCTGGGGCCATGTTGGTGTCTGAGAGCCTTGCTGCTACAGGGGTCATGCCAATGAGGAGTGACTTGTGCAACCACACAAAGCCAGGCCCAAGTTGTTGCTGTGGGCCATGTCTGGGTCTGTGGCCCCACAGCAGACAGGGTCTGGACTGATGTCCATGGCTCATGTTACCACAGAGGTTCACAGGAACTATATGTATTGAAATCCAAGGACTATACTGAGCCAGCCCTGCCCCTCACTGGCCCTGCTTCTCTGGACACTGCAGCTGGAGAGCTGGTCCCACTCACCCCATGGGAGAGCTCACCACCTCCCCCGATGAGAGAGATGGCCCCATCCCTCATCACAGGCTTGCCCACCAATGGCATGGCTCTGCCTCTTGCCTGAGGGTGTGATCCCATTGGCCCAGACTGACCAGATCAACTATCACCTAGACCCACATCCTGGGCCTTGGGTTGACCCACCCTAATATATGCCTCATCTATGACCTGCTGGAGTGTGCAAAGGGACCACAGGATCTCCATGACTCAGGGCAACAATAGGATATCTGAGAGACATTTGGGTTAAGACCCAATGATGATGGTGTGACAGAGGCCTTAAAACCAGACCAATGACTCATTGCAATGAACATTTTTCAAGTGGAACTGATTGGACAAAAGGATATACTGCTTGACACACTGCAGCTCCTGATGCCACTAAGGTAAAAGAAGAGGTGTTGGAGAGATGGAGAAGTGTAGTGGGTTTTTGGCTTTTTGTTTTGTTTTGTTTTTAATTAATTTGGGAGGCATGCTGTAGGGGTGAGGGGCAGATATGGAGGGACTGGGAGGTGAGTAGGATTGGGGTACATGATGTGATATTTCCAAAGTCAAAGAATTATGTTAAAAAATAAAATAAAAGATATAATAAAATAAATAAACAAACCCCAAAACTAACAGATTGAGAGCTTCCAAGGAAGATACCTGATATCTACCTCTGACTGTCAAATGCCCTCCTCCTAGGATACAAACACATGCACATTTAAAAAAAAATCAATTTCCAAGGAATGAAATTTATGGGCTACATTGCCCTAGTTTTCATTCTGTTCTTGTGGTAAAACCATGACCCAAAGCAACTTAGGGAAGGAAAATGTTTATTTCAGCTTATACTTTCAGGTCACAATCCGTCATTGAGGGAAGTCAGAGCAGGAGCTAAGGCAAACGTTTGAAGCAGAAATAACAAAGGAACATTGCTTATTGAATCACTCACTGGCTCATGCTCAGCCTGCTTTCTTATAAGACCTGGGGCTACCTGCTCAGCGATGGCATAGCCCACAGTGTACTCACCACAATCAGCCAACAATCAAGACAATTCCTCATTGGCCATATGCCAATCTGATCTGTGCAACTCTTCAACTGAGGTTTCTTCTTCTAAGGTGACTGTGTGTCAAGTTGACAATGAAAACTAATCAACACACACTGCAAGCATGTTCTTAGTTCTGTACAAATCAGTTTCATGGCATCTTTGCCAGAATTTTATTTTTCCCATTTTCTTTGGTCAGCCATCTTATTAAGTGTGATGATGTGGTACTATGTCATGGTAGCTTTAATTAACATTTAAAAAACGGCTAATGATAGTGAATATCTCTACATACATAAGCCATGGTGTCATGGTCAGAGGACAACTTGTGGGAGTCTGTTTTCTCCTTTTACCATGTGGGTCCTGGGTATCAAATTCAGGTCTCCAGGCTTGGTGGCAAGCACCTTCCCCTGCTGAGCCATCTCTCTAGCCCCTACCTTATTTTAAAATGGATTTTATTACTTCTTCATTTTTAAGACTTACAAGTGCTTTATATTCTAAGTAAAGCATTTTGTTAGGTATACTATTTTCAAGTATTTTCTCTGAGTCTACAGCTATCTTTTTTATCTGCTTTAAGTTTTTTTACTGAGCAAAATCAAAGAAAATTTTTTGAAATAGTCTTACTATGTAACTATGGGTGACTTAGAACTCATTGGCCTCAAACTTTCAGCAATCCTCCTGCTTTCACTCGGATCACAGGCATGTATAATCACGGCAGCAAGTTTTAAAACTGTGTGTGTTTGTATATGTGCAGGCACACAGGTGTTATGGTGTGTAGAGGTTAGAGGACTCTCCAGAGTCAGTTATCCTGCCTGCATGGAGAATCTGGGGATAAAATGCAGGTGGTCAAGCCTATGCCCAAATACTTCACTATCCACTGAGCAATTCTGCTGACCCATGGATAGGATTTATGTTTGCCAGTTTTATGCCTACAACTTTGCTGAAGTCATGTATTAGTTCTAAACAGATGTGTGTGTGTGTGTGTGCGTGTGCGTGTGCGTGTGCGTGTGCGTGTGCGTGTGTGTGTGTGTGTGTGTGTGTGTTGAATTTATGAGCATGAACTTTTTCATAGAATTCTCTTTCTACAGTTGATGTACCTTGTTTTATTCTTGACTACCTTAGTTACTTTCCTTGTTGCTGTGATAAAATATCCCAATAAAAGTAACTTAAGGAAGGAAGGGTTTATTTTGGGTCACAGTTCCAGAGCCCAGTTCATGATGGTATGGAAGTCCAGGAAGTAGCAATAGAAAACAGTGAATGTCTGCTTGGTTCCTGTTCTCCTTTTTACACAGATCAGAATACCAGCCCAGGAAATAGTTCCACACACAGTGATCATGTCTTTCAGCCTTAGTTAACCCAATCAAGAGACATGAACATCCCATGTATGTTCTGAAGCCCTTCTCTCAAGTAATTGTATATCTCAAGTTCACAATTGAAGTTAACCATCACACTGATGTTGATAATTTTAGTTTCTTCTTCCTCCTCCTTTTCTCTTCCTTTCTTTTCTACCCCCTCTTTTCTTTTCTTTTTCCTCTATTTCTCTATCTCTTCCCTTTTTTCACTCTCAGTAGTCTATAGGTTTATTATTATTATTATTATTATTTTAAAAACAGCTTTTTTATTTCCTGTGTCCATTTTGTTTTCAGTTGATTGTGAGTACTAGTATCTTTTTCTCATTGTTGTTCACCAGAACTTTATTATAAGGCCCTGTTGCTGAAGATACCACACACGTTGGTCACAGGAATGGAGAAATTAAACTGGTACTGATCAGGAAGCTTCCTCCCTGCTGGGTAGCTTTCATGCTCCTGGAAGATACTATACATGCTGCTGAGTGAAAAAAAAAAAAAAGGCTAGCAACAATCTTATCCAGCTGTGAATTTTGTGAAATGCAATTATGACCAGCATGGCAAGATATGACCATTGGTCCAAAAGTGTCATAAATATTATGGGAATAGCTTGATTGGATTTAAGAGCTGCTCCACAGAAGGAACACATTTCTGGTACTGTAAATCTGGCACAAACCTCAAGGTTGGAGAGTCCACAGGTCACATAGGTGAGCCAATTACTATTTATTACTCAACTAAAAGGACATTGTGTCAAACTGCCCTCTAAATTTGCACATCTTTATCCATTGATTAGTACATCTCTCAGACCTCATTAGAAAAATGTTTTTGTATAAGAGGATAATGAAACTCACAACTGGTCAAAGTTCAGGAAATAGATATCAGTGAAGTGCTCAGTCACAAGGACACACTTCCTTCACAAGGCTCAGAAACTGTCGTAGAAGGGGAGGTAGAAAGATTGTAAGAGCCAGAAGTTGGGGAGGGCTGGAGCAAAACTGTATCTTCTAAGCATAACAAGACCATTGCATTCATGGACTCATATCAACTATGGTTACTTACACATAACCTGCACAAGATCAAGAAAGTCAAAATTATATCATAGAGTGAGAAGGGGTTCATGAGTCCTCATCCCTAACTGAACAGCTATGGACAGTTGATGGCTTTTGTGGGGTGGGATAGTCAGTTTTCTTTTTCTTTCTTTCTTTCTCCCTTTCTTTCTTCCTTCCTTCCTTCCTTCCTTCCTTCCTTCCTTCCTTCCTTCCTTCCTTCCTTCCTTCCTTCCTTTCTTTCTTTCTTTCTTTCTTTCTTTCT